TTTACTACTGTTATACTTAAAAGTATACTTTTATATTCTAGAAAGTGGGCCAATTTAGTCCCAAGGAGTATTGAAATAGTACACTTACAAGTATACTACTAGTACGCTGATATTTGTATACTTACTACATAAAGTATACTTAAAAATATACTTGAATTTTATTTAAGTATATTTAATAAAATAAACTTGAAGTATACTACTTTTTGGTAAGGGTGTCATCATTTAGTCATTTTCTTAGTTTTTGCTGAGGGCATCATAAAGTGTTTACAAATGTAATCTATTTATATTGCAACTCTTTAGAAGCTATACGTCAGCTTGTGTTTGACAAAATAAAAGTATATTGTAGTATCATATATACTAATTCTCTGTGTTGGTGTGGTTTAGGGTATGTTAGGGGCTCAAATACATCAATACAGCGGTAAAATGTAAATATAAAGACTCTTGCATTTCAAAAGCAGTGCTTACATGAATCCTTTTGCATTTTAGATACTGTCAAAGTTTGTATATCCAAAGTACAAAAATGCTGAATGCTATGTGTAAGTAGTTCTGAATTCTTAAGAGATCTGGCTGGATTATTTCAAGGTGAACTGATTCATATTGATGATCAGTGGGAACAATCATTGATTGTCTCTTGGATGTTTTGCAGAACCCTGAACAGCAACAACATCAGCAGCATCCCAGTGTCCAGCTTCAACCACATGCCCAAGCTCAGGACCTTGTGAGTAACGCAAACACACACATAAAACACACAGTGTGAGTGTGCGCCAAGTCACTCTTCAAGAGATAGTTCACCAGGAAAAAATATATATTCTGTCATCATTTACTCACTCGTTTCAAACCTTCAGGACTTCCTCTCTTCTGCAGAACATCATCATTTCATTATGTGGACAAAAACTGTTCTCTAAATATCTTATTTTGTTCTGCAGAAGCAAGAAAGTCGTAAAGGTTTGAAATAATATGAAGATGAGAATATGATGACAGATATTTTTGAGTGTCCTGAGTTATGTGATGAGAGCTGATAGATGGTGGGTAGTTTACGAAGCACATTTGGAATTACACAAAGTGTTTTCTGTGAAATCTTGCGAGCATGTAGCTAAAATGTTCGATTCCCAGGAAATGCAAGTCACTTTATAAAAGATTCAGAATGATTAACTAATAGTCAAAAAGTATCTACTCATACCGATTTGTTTCAACTGGTGTGATATACCGGTTAGAATATGCTCTTTTTTTCTTTTTTTTTTCACATCTTATTGATAAACTAGAGTACATAAAGTTTCTGCCACTGAATAAAAAAATAAAAAAAAAGGTAATTGCAAATTTTAACTCATAATTCTGATTGTTTTTCTCACAATTGTGAGATTATATCACACAATTCTGAGGAAAAAAATTCAGAATTGCGAGATTGCAAGTGTAAAATATGTGTATGTGCTTGATCTTTTTTATGGGAACTGTACAGCAGTTTTTACCGAGGTCCATCTTATCTGACAGCAGATGAACAGCAGGCAGTAAACACACACACATACACACACGGACACACGCACGCACGCAATCACGCACGCACACACGGACACACACAC